CTAAAGTGAAATAAACAGGATACACATCTGTAAGCACCGAATAGTTTCTCTGATGTGAAAAACTAAAAGTGTAAATAAGGACTAAAAGATATAATAGATACTGTGAAATGGGAAGAAAAGGGGCAAAGGGCAAGAGGATGTTGAAGGGGTAGGGGAAAGTAAAAAAGAGAAAAGAAAAAATACGAGAAAAGGAAAAAATGAAAACAAAATGTTTGTAAATAGTGAAGGATGGACTGGGTGAAGGGAGGGCAGGGGAATGGAGAAAAAATAAGAACCAAGATACATCATGTAAAGGTACAAGATCCCAATGATGAACGTAACTGTACTGTGTACATGAAATGTACCAATAAAGTTAATGGAAAAAAAAAAGAATCAATAAGACAGAAAATAGAGAAAAAAGAATGAAGCCAAAAGTTATTTCACTGAAAAGATAATGTTGATACAAATCTAACTAGGCTAATGAGGGAAAGAAAGGTAAGACTTATTGCCAACACAAGAAATGAGAGAGAAGACATCACTACAGATCATACCTACATAATGGAATACTAGGAGCAAACTAATCACAACTAATCTAACAACCTAGGTAAACTGAAAAGTTTCATGAAATACATAACAATTAAAACTCAACAAATAATAGGCACATTAAATAGATCTACATATATTAAAGAAATTGATATTGTAGTTTAAAATCTCATAAAGAAACTCTAAGCCCATTTGGCTTCATTCATTGCTTCTATGAGACATGTGAGGAAATAAACTAATTCTTTACAGTTCCCCAAAGTAGACTGGGGAACATGTCAAAACTCATTTTATAAGGCCAATATTATTCTGATACCCAAACAAGAAAACATGATTAAGAAAACAACAAAGAATATGAGGCCCTAGGTTTGATCACCATCACTTTGAGAAAAAAAAAAAGGAAGGAAAGAAGTGAAGGAGAACAGTAAGGAGAGAGAGAAAAGGGAGGAAGAAATGTTGAAAGGCAAAAAATATAAAAGAATACCCAATGAACATAAATACAAAGCATTATTATAAAATTTTAGCAAATATAGTTTATCAATATATATAAAGGACCATACATCATGACAGTAGGGTTTATCTCAGAAATTTAAGATCATTTAAACATTGAATAATCAATATATTTAACTCACTGTTATTAACAGGCTAAAAACAAAAATTATGTAATCATCTCTATAGATTTAGAAAAAATGTGTCATTTACATTCAAGGTAGAAATTCTCAACAATTTAAGAATACAATGGACCTTCCTCAACCTAATAAAGGGCATCTACAAAACAAACCCCTAAAGCTAATGTGGTAAAAACTGAGTATTTTCTCTGAGAGCATGATCAAAACAGGAATGTTCATTCTCTTCTATACAACATTGTACTAGAGGTCCTATCTGGTGCAATAAGGTGGGGAAGAGGAGAGAAAGGGAAAAAGGGGGAGAAAAGAAAAAGGAAGGGAAGAAAAAAGGAAGGGAACCTACATATAGAAAAGGAAAAAAACTGTCTTTAATTGCAGATTATAAATGTGAATTTGTATACTTATCTATATTAAATGTATTTAGAAAATTCTAGGAATTTATTTTAAAAACCCTATAAGAACTGAATAACTTAGCAAGGTTGCAAGATGTGTAAAAATACAAACTCCCCTTCCAAATCAACAGATAAGTGGATACTAATTTTAAGAGGGGAAGGCTATCTGGTGAGGAACAGGATATTTGCACGATCTCAGAATAACTTTGCACAGAGTGCTCATTAACTACATCTTACAGGAAAAGAATAATAATTGTACATAAAATGGAAAAAATCTTGACCTGGAGATCAAAATTCCCATAGAGGTAGAAGGACATCAGTCCTCCCTAATGTGATATCCTAGAAGAATACAATTGCAGTTAGGGAATCATCTGCTTGGGGCTGCACAGTCTGAATCTTTTCATGAGGAAATAACAGAAAAATTCCAATTGGAGAATACTCTATGAAATAACTGATTTATATTCTTTAAATATTACTATGCTGTGAAAGAAAAAAAGAGGTGGAAGAATGATTCCAGTGAAAGGAGACTGAAGAAACACGATGACAAAATGCACGTTCCTGGACCAGGTCCAGTACTGGACAGGGGCAAAATGCTGAAAAGGACATGACTGAGATAATTTATAAAATTGGACAATTAACTGTAGATCAAATGAATATTATATAGATGTTAATTATCTCTGCTGTGATTACATAAGAGAATATTTTTGTTCATAGGTGACCCACTGAAATACAAAGGATTAAAGGGGTATAAGATATGTAAATTACTCTCAAATAGTTCAGAAATAAAATTATATGTGTATACACATGTATACACTCATATAGAGAAAGAGATAAATCAAATATGACAAAATATAAGTGAATCTGTTTAAAGGGTATTCAGGAATTCTGTTACATTTACGCAACTATTGTGTGTGCTTGAAATGATTTTGAAAAGATGGTGAAATCTTCCAGTGGCTCATAAAGCTCCAGAATAGTCTGCCAGTGTCTTTGTTCTTATCAATTAATGCAGTACCGGTAAAAGTTGACTGACACTTGTTCATGATTACCTCCCAATTAATAACATGTTTTCTATATTAAATACCAACATCAAGTCCAGTAAAGGATGAAAAAGCAATATGGAAGCTATAGAAACAGCATGGGCCTTGCCTTTTATTTTCATCATCATTTGGGTAATTTCCTTCATATCTGTAAGTCTTAGTGTCTTTGTTTTGAAAATGGGAATAAAGAATAAAAACATATAAATCTCACAAGGCTATGAGAACCACATAAGAGAAAGCATTAATGCATACCTTTAAGAAGTAAAGAGATACAACTTTTAAACCAAGTCAAGCCTGTGCTGCAAGGCCATCAAAGCTTCTAGTCTCTCTCAGAATGAACCCAAAACCCTCACTGTGGTCTCTGACGCCTCACCTGACCTGGCCTTCAGCTCTCTCATCTCCTCTCCAGCTGCTCTCCTCCATTCCTCACGCACACCCTGCCTCTGGGTTCTTGTAATTCCATCATCTCTGTCTGGACCACCCTTAGCTTAGACACACAGTAATCATTCTCACCTCCATTGCAGTTTTCTACTCAAATGTTATCTCATTGCTGGCTTTTCCCAAGGAATTACCTATACATAGTGCACTCACAACCCCAAGCATTCTCTGGTTTTTATCCGTGTTCATTTCTCTTTTCAGGACTTATCCAACCACTTTCCCTCCTTTAAAATACAGTTATGCAATTGTGAGAACTTCTGTTTGTCCAGAACTGTATCTTTAGCACATAAGTGTTTCGCACATAAGTGACCCTCAATAAATATTTGTTAGTGAGTAAATGAACACAAACTTAAACATGCATAGTATCTGGTTTATACACAAGCAATGCTTCATGGATATTGCCATCAATCTATTAAACTTCTCAAAAACTATTTTACATCACTATTAAATATCCCTACTGCTTCTAAAAACATATGCTGAATTAAGATGTACTTTATTTTTAGGAATACACTGTGCCCTTTGAGATTACTGTAGATCACTGACTTGTGACGAGATTAGGCATACAATCACAGAGTCACATTTCTGAAGGGTGGCAAGGAAAAAATACTCCACACAGACATATTTAGATATTTGATCATTTCTTTCCTAGTGGGGCCACCTAATCCTCATTATATGTCAACTCCCCAGTAGAGCTGATTTTTTTCTTACCCAAATTATAGATACTTGGAAGCTTCTCCTTTACTTCTAAATATAAAATAAAAGCCTCACATTTCAAACTCCTCATCTTATTGCAGGAAAGCAGAGCACATCTTGAAAACTCAGTAATTGCGTCTGATAGGCAGTGATACAAGCAGACAGCCTTTATCAACACCAAGGCTGATAAATGACAATCAAGATCCCACTGCCTCCTGGGACCTGGGTCACTGGGACCTTCCCAGTAACATCCTCAAAGTAACATTATCGAAGATGGGAATTTCCTGTTTTTGTTAAAACTGACTCAGATGGAATCCAGTCAGAGTTGCAAGATGTCACATTTGACCTACAAATACAGCCTTTTCATTTTATCTGGGAGCAGTTGTGAAATCAGGACCCCCCTCATATATGTCTTATTGCAGATAAAGATCCACACGACACTCAAAAAAAATGTTCGCTAGGTTTTTTTTATTTTTACCGTGGAGGTCCCACCAAGTTGCCCACATAGACTTACCCACCACCAGGGCCGACCAAGCAGCACTTTTTGAGAAGAGCACTTTATATACTTCTTCCTTGGTTTCACCAAGTCTGTTTCTAAAGCATTTCTGGTTTACTGCTACCTGGGTATCTGGCTTTGTTTGTGTCTCAAGCCTATTTGAATTATTTTGGTCAAGTTCTATCCAATAAATTAAAAAGTACTGAGAAATTGGTATTCATCTTTATTCATTTCTGTCTAAAATCTGGGGAATATTTTGAATGACCAAGGATCTCAACTCAAAGGGGCTATAATTCTCCAAGGTTTGAAGTGAGGTCTCTGAGCTGAACTGTTAAGAAGAAACACTCTGTACTACTGATACTGTCTTTGCTTCCCTGTATAAAATTTCCAACTTGCTTTGGCATGTCTATCTTTCCTGACAAGATTATTAACATGCGTGCTTGTCCATCTTATAGAATCCTATACTACAAATGATCTATTCAGCTAAAAACTCAAGCGGAGCCTTTTACAAACTGTTTTGTTTGGGTTTAGTTTTTAGTTCCTTCTTTGTTTAGATCCTTTCTCTTTGATAATCTGTGTTAAAAATTCCAGAAGTAACTTTACTCTCCCTGAAGCACAATTTCTGTATCTTTAATTCAGTAAGAACACCCCAGAGCCAGTTTTATGTCATTTGACCAACTGACGATAACTCCCATCAGGAAATGTTTCTGAATGCCATCCAATGAGCAACAGAAGGGAGATAGCCATTGAGGAGATTTGTTTTTTGAAAAGAGGGGATCAGAGCAGGCACAAAACTTACCAGCATGAGACTCAAACTTCAGCAAAGCACTGCTGTGACCCAGAGAGATCAAGATGGTATCCTTCCCCAAGTGGCAACATTCAGTGTCTCTGCTGAGAAAGCATTTGAAGACGCACATGCCATCAGCTATAAAGAGTGAAAAGATAGGATTAGGCAAATTCAACTTCAACATTGCGAAAAAGCTCACCAATGCCAATTCTCTCATGTTCTCAAATCTCGTTTCTAAATTCTCCCCCCCCCATTTCTAAATTCTTAATATAATACCTCCTGGAACATAGGTAAATACGCAAATCAGAGATGAATCTAACTATGGCCAAAGGCCAATTCTCTTTACATGTGAGTAAATGCAGGGCTCAAGACTGACTCCTGTCACCTCTTTCCTCTATCTCCAGGTCTCCATTGCCCACAATGTTTATGTTGCCTGAGTCAGTTTTGTTTTTGTTTCTGTTTTTTAATCTTTTGACACCACCCTAGGAAAGCTGAGGAAATGTCTTTCTGGGTAATCCCTAAGTACTTAAATATGTTCAAAAGTTATCACAACAAATCTCCATTGTAAGTATTATCACTGACAATATTTGTAGGTAAAGACAAGGCCAAGAGTTCAGGCCCAGTATGAACAGGTAGAAGTAGCAGAATCAGAACTTGAGCCCAGATATAGTATTTGACTACAAAATCCACAAAACAATGTCTCTGCTATGATATGCTGAGATGAGATAAGTGTGATGAAGAAAGAGCTTACAAAATTGGAAACTAACTCACTAATCTTGATTTTAAGGGAAGACAGGCTTTTAGTATTGGGACAACTGTAATACCAGGGTTAGAGCAATGAACTTGGAGTTTTCTTTAGAAAAATTGAGAAACTTCAATTACCCAATCATACTGAGTTTTTTTCCATTATGTAAAATGAAAATATTGATGTTTATATTATGGATGTTTGAAGACTATTATTCTCTTATTATTTGGTTATGAAATTTTATTTTATTTTTTCATAAAATAAAAACATGAGAAAATGTAAATAGAGTATTAAATAAGCATTTAATTAAATAAGCATTAAATTAAATAAGATTAAATATTAAACAAGAATTATTCTCTCATTTAAAAACATCCTAGTTCTTATCCTTAATAACTATTTGTAATTCAGAAAGCTCTCCTACAAAACCAAATATAGAAAGTGTATCAACTTAAAAACAATTGTATGTAAAATTCTACTCTTACAAAACACATGCAAATTCATGTACATACATTCAAAACATGTACACACATACATCCATAGAGTTAAAATGGCCAAATGTTTTCAAATATTTCCACCCATTGCTTCAAATGAATGTGTAATTCCTGATGGAAGTATTTACAAATGTTTTTTTCACAAAATGTCTTGTCCTGTTAAATAGTACAGATGTTTTGAAAACAATTTCTTGGCATCAAACACAGTGCAGGTTTGGTTAGCACCACCCAGCCGACACCTTGCAAGGAGGCAGTCATGAATCTGAATGCAGAAGAAGGGAGTCTGAGTACATCCTTTTGGGATCATAAGAAATATTTTTAACAAATTAGAATTTTTAGAGTTTTATCAATTGTTCGTCTTACAGTTTAGAAGTGTGATAAGACAGAATGAAGACAGAAGGCTTCAGGCTTCCACAGACACTCATGCATGCACGTCTGTTGTAGTCTGAGCTCTGCCAGAAAGGGCAATTTGACTTTATTTTTGAAATCAGTATTTTTTTTACTCTGAATCAAAATTTAGCACAGTAGCTGGTATTTAAAAAATTATCTGTTGAATCAGCAAAAGTATTTCTCCACATATTGACTGAATGCTAACTCAGAATACATAAAAAGCAAAATCTACTAGGGTCAATTCTCCTTAATCACATAGCTTCAGTTTCACATTTTACTGTGATTTGATTAGGTAATAAATTGCTGGTGTTATTCTATCTTTATCAACTGTAAGATCCCTGCCCTTATGTCCCATTTTTCTTTGTCCTCTGTTTAAACATTGGAGGAGAAAGTCTTTTGCTTTTAGCTTTTTCAAAATGTATGTACAGTAGTTAAGATATGCAAAATGATGTTTTGATATACATATGGACAGAGAAGTAATTGTTAGTCAAAATATCAACAAACAGTCCATCATCTCACATACATACCTTTCTTTTGTATGTATGTGCTAAAACCTAAAATCTACTCTTAGCAAATTTCCAATATGAGAACTAGGACTAAGAATATAAGAATTATTAATACAATTTAGTTAACTATAGTCCTCATATATCTTAAATCTCTACTCTTACTCATTTGAGAACATCATCTTTGTACCCTTTGACCTATGTTGTGATTTCCCCATCCCTACTTCCCCTGATAACCACATTTCTACCCACTGTTTCTATGTACTAATTTTTTCTTATAGATTCCACATATAGTGAGATTATGCAGTATTTTTTCTCTATCTTATTTCACTTAATATAGTATCTTTAGTTTCATCCATGCTGCTGTCAAGAGCAAGAGATCCTTGTTTTTAAAGGTAGAATAATAGTCCATCATAAGTATGTCATAATTTCTGTATCCCTTCATCTGTTGATAGTCCCCCATATCATTTTCATATCTTAGCTATCGTGGATAGGCTGCTGTGAGAAAGGAAGTGCAAGTATCTTTATCAGGTGGTGATTTCTTTTTCTTTTGGGCATATCCTCAGTACAGGGATTGCTGGGTCATATAGCAGTTCTATCTTTAAAGGCTTTGGAAAATGGAAATGATCATTTTAAGCATACCGTAAAATCCAGAAAGTACTGTTAACTACTCAAATATTCTAAAATTACTTACAAAATATTAAAAAATCTTAATATTAAAAAACAGCAAAAAGCTACACAAATATTTTCAACATATGTAACAAATACATAACATTCCCAATATACAACTGGCACTAAAAAAGAAAGAAAAATAAGCATCTCTACTAAAAAACTAGTAAGATGAGGGAAGAGGCGATCAGCACTGGAAAAATACCAATGGCAAAAAATTAGTGAAGATAATAATGAATCTCAGTATGTATAATCCAACTGAGATCTAACTTTTTATCTCACTCTGTAAATATTTTAAAATATATGTTGACAATATTGACTGCTGCAGAGATTATGAGAAAAGAGTGAATGAATGATATGACCAATATTGAGAACATAAATTTCTAATGTATTATGCCCTGTTGGGTCAAATTTTTAAATTTTTGTATTCTTTGCCAGATACTCTGTTGAGAATCATTTCTTTCAGGATGCACTTTACCAAGTGTGGATGGATGTTTGTCCAGGGGTGTTCATCTTAAAAGTCTTCTACAATTAGAGTAGAAAACACAAGGAAGCTAAGGGTTCACCATTTACATGATTCATTAAACACAGCACCTCCATATTCAGGTGGTGGTAACATGTACAATATTACATTAATACTATTATGTTTATCTTGATAGAAAGCTGTTTATAGATATTTACCAAAATCTCAGCAGTGGCTTCCTCTGGATGGAGAGATTTGGGATTATTTTAATTTTTCCCGAAGTGGTGTTCCGCCATGTTTGAATTTTCTATCGGACTACTCATTTTTAGAATCAGAAAAAACCAAAACAAAACAAAAACAAGACAGCTTTTTTCATTTGTTAAAAAGTAATTTAAAAACCATACTACCATCACTAATGTGCTTCACCACGTTCTCATTCTTGGTGGGCATTCTCATTTTTATCATTCTATTTATTAAATATTTATTGGTATTTTATTCAAAAATATTTACTGAGGAATTACTTAAAATAACAATTCATATTCTTGTTATTTTAAGTACCATATTTTAAATTATTCATGGAATGTGTTTGCTAATTATATAACTTCTGTATTGATTTTCTTTTCTGTCCTTTGACTATGGTAATATATAAAACAAACTAACTGCTTTCTGTTAACTAATGGGATGAAGACTAAAGTGCAGCTATTATAGGGGAAGGTGTATTATTAATGAAGAATTGTATCGCTTTAAATTTAAAGAAGTTACATTAGAAAAAAAAAGAATACATTGGAAAAGTACTTGTAAATCCAAGGCCAAGAAACATCGCAACACTGCGAGAGTTTGGAGTGGCGCCAGCATAGCCTGTATTAAGGTACAGAGCACCTCTTTTTTCAAAATTAATTTTATTGGTACATTTTATTGGCACATTTTAGGTATACAATTCATTTACATTTATCATTGGGTATTTGTACCTGTACATGATATATCTTGGTTCGTATTTTTTTCCCCATTACCTGTGCACCCTTCACCCCCTCTGCCCTTCCCTATTTACACAGATTTCATTTCCATTTTTTTTCTTTTCTCATAGTTTTTCCTTTCCCTCTTTTCCTTTCCCCTTCCCCTCCCTTCACTCCTTTGTCTTTGGTCCTTTTTTCCTATTTCAAATTATCAATTATTCATTTGAACCATTTTAACTCTTGTTTACACTATCAGTTTCTCACACTAGAGAAACTATTTGGTATTTACACATATGTGTCCTATATATTTCACTTAAGAGTATGGGCTCGATATGCATCCATTTAGCTATAAATGACTCTAGTTTTTCATTCTTTATGTCTCCTGGAATGTCCATTTAAAAAAAAAACACATTTTCCTTATCCAGTCTCCAGTTGATGGGCACTTGGGCTGCTTCCAAGCATTAGCTATAACAAACTGTGCTGCTATGAACATGGGTGCACATATATCACTGTGGTATGATTCTTTTAATTCTTTTGGGAAGATACCCAGCAGGGGAATAGCTGGGTCAAATGGGACTTCCAGTCCTAGTTCTTTGAGGTATCTCCATACTGACTTCCACAGTGGTTGCACCAGTCTGCACTCCCACCAACAATGGAGAAGGGTACAGAGCACCTCTTAGGTTGTTATCACTACTACAATTGTAGTACACTCTGACCCTCTCTTACGAAAATATCATTTTCTCTGTTCAGTGATAATACAGTTAGTAAGGCTGCTTCCATGTGTTTACTATTATTCTGCTTCCAAACTTCACTTTCATCAACACTTTTTGCTATTTTTTTCCAAGACCAAGGCCTAAGCTGATGATAGCAGCAAGCTGGCAAGAATAAGTTCAGAGGCACAGAATTCAGTCAGCTTTAGAAAGG